CGCGGTCTGAGTCTCGGTGGTCGTGCCCGCAGCGCCGCCGCTGCTCATGACAAGGAGCGCGGTGCACGGCGCGAGTGGTTGGGATGGAGGAGAATGGGCGAGGAATGGGCGAAACGAGCGATCGTTGCGGAGCGGATGGTCAGGGTTGACGACCAAGGCGTGTTTTCCGCTGTTTGCGGCCGCTCCGCGTTCGTCACGTTCTCCTCTCCCGGCGTGTCGCCAACGCGGGTTCGCCTCGCGTCCGTCTTCGATCCCGGGCCACACAGGCTTTCTCCCCGTTCCTTATAGCGCGCACGCACCGTTTCGTAGGGTCGGCCAGCCTCACAATGGCGCCTAAATACTGGCTCATGAAAGCCGAACCCGATTCGCGCATTGTCAAAGGCAAGGATGTCAAGGTTCGTTAACTCGACCAGGGCTGAAATTGTTGAAAGCTGACCAAGCTCATGCAGTTTAGTGTAGATGATTTTGAAGCGGTAAGATCCACTCCCTGGGAGGGGGTGCGCAATGCGGAAGCACGGAATTTAATGAAGGAGATGAAGATGGGTGACAGGGTGAGCCCAACCGCCCGGCCCTGCGTATCGTTGTGCTTAATTGCGAGCGCAGGTGCTATTTTATCATTCCAACTGTAAGATCCCAGGTGAGCATGGTTGCCATGCCAGTTCTTGTTCGCATTTGTTCACGTACCATATCCAGGCATTGCCGCCTTCGCTGAGGTAGAGTCAGCTGAATGACTGCCGCATACTCCCGACTTACTCGCATGGTATCAGGTGTCCAAAGAAGCATACCCCGACTGTGAGCATTCTAATATCTGCTATTGCATTCTCATAAACAAAGGCAGGAACTTGAGATACTGCATGGGACCCGTATGACATGTACCCTGAATAGAGCCCGCACTGTTGCTTACGCTCTCTATCCTCTCCAGTTCACACCCATACTATGATCCTGTATGTTCGTCTGAAGGTCGCTTATCCACGATACACTCAATGTGCTCAACTGATGCCAGAAAACCGAACAAGAAAGTCCGAAGTGGTACATGGTTGACGTGACGTTTGTCGCGAGAACAACTCACTTCATTCAACTCGCGCTCTTGCGTCAAATAGCAGCCACTTCCGGAGACGAGCCGCCAACTGAAATATCCTACATTGGTGCTGACGGAGTACATGCCATCAAGCGTACGTCCTTCTTTTCATTATTCAGGTATTAATTCATTTACAGATCGGCGACCATGACGATACCATGATAGAGATGGCGCTGGTGACGCGAGGGCGGCTCAGCGTGCAGCGTGTTGAAGAAAAGACGTGGGACGTAGTCTCGATGCTTGCGGAGAAGGGCGGGTGGAACGAAGTGGATATAAAGGATGGGGCAGCGAAGAGAAGAATTGCGTCTCGGGCCGGAAAATCACGGAAGATACGCGTTGTAAAAGGCCGAGGAAAGAAGGTTGAAGCTTCAGAAAACGAGGTGGAGAGTGATGAAGATGGAGATGAGATTGAAACAGAAAGGGAAGCTCCTGCAGGAGAGGAGGAAGGTAGCAGCAGTGTTGCAAAGCCAGCTCACAGGAAGCGCAAAGTAATGGACACAGATCAGGACGACCAGACGGGCACAAGTCTACGACGGTCAACACGCGCCAGGAAAAAGTGAATAATTGCTGTCCGCATAAAAATGTGGACTGCGCCTCTTTTCATATGATGTGTAAATAAATTTATTTCGTATGCTGATCATGAAGCACGGTTCATTTATATCACCGGTGCGAGGCCTCCACACGACATGCATGATCAATTTCGGACCTGATCGAGGACGCTCCGAGTCGGGGGAAGTCATGACTTAAATAAGGAACACCACGAGGTTACTCGACGGCGGCGCCACAGCGTTCCGCTTCACTTTATCTGTGGCACTTCTCTCGGGTTCAATGTTTTCTTTTCTTGCTCCGGGTTGATCCAATCCTGCTAATCTTCCCATTGATAGCCCCGTTTTCACTCACGTCTAGCGGACTGAGTGTTGTCAATAGTTTCAAAATGATACGCAAATTATGTACTTTGTAGCACCAGGGCTAATCCGAACGCTGTAGGTTCACTGTTCACATACCGATCAACACTTCGAGTATGTAGGTGAAGCAGACTGTGAGTCGATGAGATTAGGATACAGGCGGTGGTATCATGGATTAAGTGGCACATTCATATGGAAGTAAGCACCTGGCTTGTCCGGTCTAGTCCACACAGTGCTCAGGCATTCGGCAACACCTTCTTGAGCCACTCCTTCAAGTCCCGTAATTCCTCGTTGGATGTCGAGTGAGGGAGGTCTTCATATGAATTAAACATGAGCCCGCCCTTCTCCGGCGACTCTGGGTCCGCCGTTGGGATACTGAACTCTTTCTTAAGAAATTCGACCGAGCGAACGCCCATGTCGAATTCGACAAGCGGGTCGTCCTCTCCGTGGCCCCAGAATAACGGTGTTGTGACGTTATTTGATGTGACCATCTAGCGTGCAATATTGGCAAGCTGTAGGCGGGTCTTGAGGTAAATTGCTCACCGATTTAATCTTCTGATGCAGTGGAAGCCATCCGCTCAAGACCGTCACCCCGCCCAATTTCTTATCCGATGTTAGGGCGGTCAAGAGACTAATTGCGCCTCCCTGACTGAATCCGCCGAGGACGATGCGATTAGCGGGAATGCCCGCAGCGACTTCTGAATCGAGGAATGTGCCCAGGGAGGTGATAGTTTTGCGCATGCCCGCTTCATCTTCTCGAGTTCTCCAGTCAAAGTCGAGGATGTCAAACCTGGGGATGTATTGTTTGTTATCTATAACGTGCGACAGGCAGCATTATGGCGCACCATGAAGGCATCTCCATTCCCCCGTTCGCGGTGACAGCCATTGTCGGACTACAAGTGCAGTCATCAGTGACCATTTCGTAGAGCATCGATCACGACGGTCCGGACTGCTTACGCATGAGGAAGAATCCATTTTATATGGCTCAGGGCTGAATCGGCGCCGAAAATATCAGCGACTGGTTTCCATCCGTAGCCAGTATCACCCAATCCCTGAACTGAAGAGGTAAGCGATCATTCAACTGTACACTGGGACCAAAAGCAACTTGCGTGGACAAAAATAACAGTGGCGGAATGCTTTGTCCGAGGATGGACGGTTAAGAATTTCAACGAATGTGCTGCGGCTGCCATTTTCCCCTCGGATAGCTTCCACGTAGATGCGCTAGAGGCTCGGTAGATGCGAGTGCAGAGGTAGAGAGAAAGGAGAGCGACGAGCGCAGACCAATACTTCGAGTCGGACGGCAGACCGATCCCGGGCATCTCAACTTGACTCGGAGGCGAATCGAGCCGTCATCCGCCACATGATGGTTGGGTCAATGCTTGACTGTGTCTGTTGCCTATGCCACGATCTCGGATAAGTAGAATGTCGCTTGTGAGCAAAGCTCTCATTTCTATGGTCACTCGAGCTTCCGAACGAGAACAAACGACATTGCAAACATTTAAACAGTTGTGAAGCCTACGACTCCCGCATAGTCGATGCCGACGATGCCAACTCCACTTTTCGGTCGGCGCGGCTCATGTGGGAATCGCGATCACAGAACCCGAACCCATCCGATTAGACCGCCTCCGTCGACGAATTTTCTGGCGACATTTTTATGCCGAATCATCCTGGTTTATCGATACTACAGTACTGAGCAAGGATCCAACCCGTGGTGCCTGCACGCTTCATTGCAAGTGATATTCCGAGTGGCCATATGAATCCTACAGTAGATCAGCCGTTACCGGCGGAACATCCCACAGAACCCTCACAACTGCCCGACCGTTCCCCGACCACGGAGCAGCCTCTGTCTAAGAATGCGCAAAAGAGGCTTGCTAAAGCCGCGCGCGTAGAGGAGCAAAAAAAGGAACGTCGCGCAGCAGAAAAGGAGCGGAGGAAGGAGAGAAGACGGAAGCAGCACGAGGAGAAGAGAGCAGAGAAAGAGCAGGGCGCTCAGAGCGCCGACGAGGAGCGAGCAAGGAAGAAGCGGAAGATGGGGGAAGGCCCACAAAGACCGTTTGGCGCAAACATCGTCGTCGATCTTGGGTTCGACGATATGATGACTGAAAATGTGAGTCGCAATGCGTAGATACGTTCACTTTCACGTTCAACGAAATACGCAGGAGATCAAGTCCCTCACTTCACAACTCGCCTATACATACAGCGCGAACAGGAAGGCAGAACGTCCCTTCGCGTCTCTCCTGTTTACATCGCTCAACGGACGCACAATGACGCGTCTGGAATCACTGAGCAATGCAGCATATAAAAGGTGGGTGAATGCGCACTGGTGGCAAGAAGGATATGAGCGACTATGGGAGGGATGTCCCCCGGTGAGGCAAAGCGAAGACTCTGGGCAGAATGAACCTCCTGCTATCGCCGCTATAGAGCACACAGGAGACACACACACGGTGAATGACCGTTTGCCCCATTCTCAGAATCGAAATATCGAGTGGACATCCGTTCCAAAGGAGAGCGTAGTATATCTCACCGCAGATTCTGACACGGAGCTGACGGAATTGAAGGAGGATGAGACCTACATCATTGGTGGTTTGTGTGATCACAACCGGTACAAGGTACGTGCCAATTCGCTCTGGCTTGGGTATATCAGGGGGCGATCATCTCATGCGTGCTGCGCATTGCTGCGTCGTATTACAGAATCTCTGTTTGAATAAATCTAATGATACGAGTATACGATCCGCACGTTTACCGATCGGAACGTATTTGTCCGAGTTGCGCACTCGGAAGGTCCTCACCGTAAATCAGACATTTGAGATCTTGCTCAAATGGATCGAAACACGCGACTGGGAGCAGGCGTTATGGGCGGTCATACCAAAGCGGAAGTTCCAGGATGGCGGGAATCGAGGGAAGCATGCAGGTGAGAGAGATGCGGACGACAGTGATCAGAACGGGGATGGGGACCAAAATGAGCGCGTAATTGTTGAAGATACTGGGGAGGTTGTTATCGACGTTCAAACACTCGAGGAAGCAGATGACGAGATGAGGGGCGACATCAGCTGAGACAGTTGACAATTCTGGAACATCGAAATTAATCACAAATCACTTAGATTAGCTGGTGTGCTCGGTATGTTTGGACCGGGAAGAGCAGGAGAGCTGAGAGTCAATTGAGGCTTAGTGTATCACAGAATCTCCTTCAAATTCGTCTTTCCGGTGCCTCGTGCGAGGGGTTTTGGTTGCTTTGGGGAGGGTTTCCATCCGATCTGGATGCTGTTAGTTTGTGTGCTTGTCAGTGTGACGGGACTCACGACGTATATGACTTGAAATGTTGCGGGGACTGTTCCGTCTTCATGTCCATGGAGTTCCTTGTATATGGCGGCGGCCGCGGCCAGAGTATCACGATGGATAGAGTTTCTCCTGCGAATTCTATATCAAGTTTGGGCGACCATTCTAAGGATATTCGACATACCGTCCAATCACAGCATTATTCTCGCCCATGTCACGAAGGTCGTCCATAAGCTCCCACATGGATGGGTAAGCTACTTTCACTTCGTCGACGTCAACTGTAAGAAGTGTGAATCCAGCTCGGCCCAGGAGGTTGGACATGTCTCGTGAATCTGGGAGGGATTTGAGATGAATGGGGAGCAGACATTATCGGAGACCTTACCGGTCATCGGGGAGACATGTGGTGAAATCCCCCCTTCGCGTTCCATTTCGGCGAGTTGGAGGGAAGTCCTGTCAACAGTGAGTACACTTCAAATGGTATTGCATGCCAGTATGTGTACCGTAGTTCAAAGAGGGTGTCACCGCCGAATAAGGCGCCAAGAAAAACACCGTCGGGTTGAAGAGCTTCTTTGATTTGGACCAAGACACCTTTTTGGGTTACGTTCAACGGCTACGAACAGTGAACGAAACAAGACGGCAGTCTCACCTGGAAGGTCGTTCACCCAGTGTAGGCTGAGACAAGACACAATGGCTTCTTGTGAATTAGGCTCAATGACATTGAGGAGATTCTCCTCATCTGCATGTATTCGTTCGACTTTCACTGTACGCTGACCATCTAAGATATCAGCCTCCACAGTGAACAGATACCCATTCACCTTCGAATTCTGAGTCAGGATCTCTATGTAGGAGCTTCTCTGGGCTGACATGAGCAAGCAAAATCTACCGCAGCAAGATGACTGACCGCTTGAGTCGATCATCACTACTTTATCTGTAGTTTCCGGCTCTAAGAGCTTAGAGAAGTGCCCTGGACCAGATCCTATATCTATGATTGTGCTGAACTTCCGTTTGATATCCTGCGAAGAGTATGGCTTAGATTCTAGTACGACACACGAACGGGGTTCTGACCTGTAGCCGTTCTATGAGTCGATCCGCGACTTCGTCTCGCACATAGTCAACTGTCCTACTTTGAACCCCGCCTTCTAAAAGAGCGGACCTGTCTTTCTGAAGACGCTTCACGTTTCGATCGAATACCTGGTACGGGCCGACTGTATTGAGATTAATGGGCGAGGAAGACACAGACGCGAAAGATTGTGCGCGATTTTTTGCGGAGTAGTTGAGACATCGCCGAGAAATGAGTGAGCACGATAGCATCCCAGCACATGCACTGCGACAATGAATAAAATTGAGGTCGCTTTAGACAAATAGCTCACAAGCCTCAGCATCGCGGCACAGCCACAGGCGCGACGCGATATGCTGACTCAGCGAGTCTGCCCTGCGTAGACCGACTGGAATTTTGAATCTTGCCAGTGCTAGTGAACCTCGCCGCATTCACTCTAGCTCTCCTTCCATCCTCCCTTCCTTCTCTGCTTGACTTATCATGAACGACGGTCAAGGAAATGTTCCGTCCAGCTCAAATCAGATGACTCTTGTCCAGAACCAGGTCGTGGTGTCCCCAGATGCTTACAGGATGAACATGGAACAGGTGCGGAAGGCCAGGGAGTACCTCGATCGTGTTACGCAGGGGTTGGATGCTGGTCTACAAAACTATTGTCTGCGGGAGCAGGAGCTACAGCGCCAGATTGAGGCAGGTCGTCAGGCAGAGTGAGTTTTACGCGTGCGTGTTTCCTCGTCTGTTCTCTGTTGAGGTCGCTTGGCGTAGAATGTTGCTAGTCCAGATGAAAGGACGACAGTGAGCATCCCTTTGCATGCAATGTTTCGCGATCATTAATTTTTTAGGAACAACGGTGCCCCGGACGGTGTGTCGGACGCAGGGGGAAGTACTAGTGCTCATCCGTGGCCTGCCTCTGCATCGATACCTCTGCAGCACCCTCCTAGCATGAATGGGCCGTCCAACAACTCTCAATCCATGGGGGTAAGTGTGTTGTATGAGATTCGGCGCTTGTTTATCGAAAACACATATGTAGGCTAAGGTCCAGGTGGCTCCCCTCGCCTCAAGTTATCCACAAACCCAAGCTGCCCAACCGCCAACCATGTCGTATAGTGATTGGGTGCATATCCATCAGCAACAGCAGCAACAGCGGCAGCAGCAACAACAGCAACAGCAACAACAGCAACAGCAACAACAGCAACAGCAACAGCAACAGCGACAACAGCGACAACAGCAACGACAAGGTGGCCCATCCGGCGTATATGCTCAAGTAAGGTTGAAATAATCCTCTCATGCTATTTTTCTCATTCCGAGGCATCGAAAGCCAAATCCTTACGCAACTACAACGGCTCAAACATCAAATTTTCAAATTAACGCGAACCGAGTTTCTGGTAAGAGTATTGTCGAGTTCTCCATGTCGAACCTTGTGACGTACCTGCTCAAGGTCCCAATCAGCGTCGTGGGAGCTTACCCAATGGCGTCCAGCCATCACAAGCAGCACCTGGAGGCGAAAGAATTGCTCGTTCTCAGAAGACTTATGCCTCCCAGAGTAGGCCGACGGCGGTGCTCGCACCAGAGACGATCTACTATGAGATTCTCGCTATTACTAGAGTAAAAAATTCCTGTAGGCTTTTCATGTTGTTCTCTAATCCTTTCTTTAGATACTCAGGCTAGAACAAGTCAAATATGTTGTGGCCATAGTTTGTCAAAAGCTGCGATACAAGTATCCACTTGGCACGATGGATCTCGAAGCAATCCTGGGATCTAAACCTGAGCAGAGTACCAGAAATCAGCAGCAGTATGAACAAATTGGCACATACATAGCATCAAAATTGAAGGCTTGTGCTGTGTTTGTTATATCTGTAATTGTTGTATTGATAGGACTCAATGGTTTTTCCAGGATGTCAATGGTGATGTTATATTGCAGCTACTCAGAAGAGTGGTGGATACTTCTAAAAATACTGTTTTACCACCACTTCCACAGTCAGAGGCATCTTCCTCTGGCACATCAATTGGTGTAGGGAGTATCCCAGTTACCCAGCTGTCTTCTTCAGTCATCCCACATGGCCATCAGCCTGAGCAGAGCAACAATGCCTCTTCTTTGGCTTCTGCATTCCCACTTGCTGCTTCAGTGATCCCTGTGCAACATCCTGCTCAGACTGATACTTTAAGGCCTGTTACCAAATTTGTAGAAGGAATGTCTCAACAGGTTGAGCCCTTTCATTATATAATTGTGATATTGATGCTAATATTCATGATTTCTCTTGCTGTGCAGCAAGCTCAGCCACCTAGTGAAAGCCTCATTCCTCAGTCCTCTACTCTGATGACACCTCCACAAGTGGTTGCAGCTCCTGAAACTGCACAGAGTTCATGGACACCAGCTCAAGCCAACAAGACACGTCTCGCACAAGACATCATGCGCTCGTTAGGCCGTCCGACTTATGTGTCCACCGCATTGATTCCCGCGACGCCCACCAAGAATTCAGCGGAGGTCACAAAGCGAAAGCGGTCGTTATCCATATCTTCATCACCGGCCGAGAAGAAGCAGAAATTTGAGGGTAACGCTGCGTCGACCGAAGTCGAGGAGATAAGCACTGACGGTGCCTTGGAGCTTGCGGTGTGGCAGCGCGTAAACGTCGAGAACGCGGAGGGGCTGGAGTTGAGCTCGGGCAGCAGCACCAATCGGCATCCAGTGGAAGTAGATGCGACAGGTTCTGGGCACCCAACGAACGAACATACGGCAGGATCAAGTAGTCTTGCCGATGCGCTGAATGTGAACAAGGTGGTGATTCCGGGTCTTGAGACCGACTTGCCGGGGTTCCCTATACCTGATATGCCTATCTCGCTGGAACTTGGATCGCTTCCTACGGAACAGAGCGCACATAATGCTGACGGCGTGCAGATTGCATCTGACGCGGAGCTGTCAGTGCCTAACATGGATACATACAACGCTATTCAGTCGTCATCGATGCCTCAGAGTCCAGCGACTGGGCCACCCTCGTCGCGAGTCTCATCACCAGAGAATACACAATTCACGGATATCGAAATAAAGTCAGGTACCTCAACGATGAAGACGCCGCTCTTCCTGCCCTCGCCTGCAAGTTCACCTGGACGATCACTAGATGAGGCAAAGTCGAGGAGTCTGGATGATGGAGACGTTACTGCGAATGGTTTTGTGCTCCATACGGATCTGCTTAGTAGTGCTTCCGTTGCGACTGAAGGTCAATCAAGAGCAGAGGCCAGGTCGAAGGGCAAAGGGAAGATGGTTTTGCGTGACGTAGAAGTCATGATTCCGAAGCGACAGCTAAGCGCGAAATTATCCAAGAGTACTAAGGCCATACAACGTAGAGGCAAAGACGATGTGTACGTGTCCATACCACCTCCCCCGTCATGGGTGCAAAGGGTAAAGACATGGGAGACGGGAAAGATGAAGCAAGCATTAGAGCAGATTGATGATGATAGTAATGCTGGTAACGAAGGTACAGTGTTAGAAATATGCCTCTCGGTTGCGCTAACGATGTCACGTTACTATAGCTGCGGACGACGAGGAACAAAGGAAGGAAGGTTCGTGACTGTAGTACTTAGTAGGTGTATATTCAGAACAAGTATCAACAGAGCAGTTGCAACAGGAAGCAATTCAACTCTCGCACACACGTTTACGCGAGTTAACCTGTCGCTGGCGGGGTTGTGAAGCAACCATGAATTCTGCAGGGAAGCTGATGCAACATGCAGCCCTCCATGCATGCGACAAGGATGACCCGGTAAGTCGATTGAACCCAACGAGGGTTTAGGGCGTCGCTGATCTCCATCGTCTAGTTCATGTGTGAATGGCAAGGATGCGCACATACGTTTAACTATAAGACCGACCTTTTACATCATCTACGAAGACATGCGACACATCCCATGTACTGTGCGTATGAGGGTAAGTTACACAGCAATGTATTAAGCATTTCGCTGACGCCCAGTAGATTGTGATCGATCATTTGCATCCTCGAAAGAGCTACTCCAGCATCATAGATCATACAGACATAAAGGACAATCTGTTCGGACGACATCAGAACTGCTTAGTAGCTCAAATGCTGCGACATTACCTCCTCTTCCAGAGGAGGTTCCATCGTCTATGATGGAAGAAAGGCGAGTATGCCAGCATCCAATGTCAAGACGTGTACACCAATGGCTATCCGCCCAGGTATGTCTACAAATTCTACTAGCCTATCGGCCGTGCCTCATCTGTATATCAGGTTCTTGAGAATATCTCGTCATATAAGTTTTTCGGACGACGACAGTACGCAGGCGCGCCTACACGGTCCTCTCGGCGGCTCGCACAAGCTATCGAAGCTGTTGAGCAGGGCGGTGCGGACGCGGAGGAGCGTCTCGAACTCGTGCGTCGGATGCCACACGACGAGTACGAAAACATTGCACGCGGAAGACCCCTCAAGGCGTCGCAACGTTGCGATGATGTGCCCTCGGATGAGGCGACGGATATGTGCGCCCGCGGGCTTGTGCTGTTCCCGCCACTTGGCCTCGACATGCGTGCCATGCTCGATGACTCGGACGCCCCAGGCTTAGATCTGAACAGTGGCAAAGCGAAAAGCGAGCCCAATGAGTTGCATGGAGCGGACAATGCTGGAGAGTTAAATAGGATGGGCAGTGGACTGAACGAGTCTAGTGTGATGGATGTTGATGCAGCCGAGCCGGTAGCAAGTGGCAGTGGCCTCATTCGCGATGATCACCGGTCGCAAGGTGAACTGCAAAATAGGCCTGAAGCGGACTTGGTAGGCGTTGTCTCTCCACGCCGCTCGGCGGATGATCCTCAACCTGCTGAGCTGTCTAGGGATGAGGATGCGGTAGAGTCGCTTTTATGAAGTTCTTGTTTATACCGTAGAGGTCGCTAATCCTGCATCGCGCATTGTTATGTTGTATACGGTGTCAAGGACGTTCTATAGCACATTGTGTTATATGCACTACGGGTTATCATAGTGGATTTGGAATGCTACGTACACGACCCGTTTATATATCGCCAACTGTGCCCGGCTGTCTGCTATTTGGTCGTCGCATGAGGTATCGCTGTATTCATCTGGTCATATTGTCGTGATAACATAGATTCAAACTCAAGTGCCAACAAAACACTCCACCTCCAGGCCTCACGCGCACGTAGTGAGTCTAATGTCACAGAATCCTCTCAACCGACCATGAGAGGTACAAAGAGAAAGTGGTCTGGCTATCAATTTCGAGAGCACTGTAATTAGTACACTATATGCACGTACGATCTAGCTAGAGCTGCGGGAGCTAAACATATATGACACTATATCGGAGCTAGCTAACCCAAAGCTAACCTGCGAGCATCGAATCCAACCGACGCCATAAGGAGAGCCTAGGTATACCGGTATGTAACACCTGTGTGATGGTAAAAATGTGCATAGATGAGAGCACCAGAAAAAAAAAACTATAGTAAATGAGAGGCAGATATACAAGAAATGACTGGAGGGAAAGGAAGGAGGGAGTGCTGGATATTACTCATGGTATAACTCTCTTGTTGGATGGATCCGACCATCACAAGGGGGCGCTTGACGAAGGGGACCATCTGTCTGTGTCCTCGTACGCAAGATGGTCTTTTCCAGGCGTTGCATCTTCGACTGCGGGCGATGCCCGGGCCAGGGGCGCAATGCCGAACCTCACATCCTCGCCCACGTAGACATCTGGCGCCCCATCACCTAGGAACAATTCAACAAGCGAGCGCTCGAGCTCGCCAAGCTCACCGAGGGACGTCGCCTTCGCGCTGTCCAGTGGGGGAGGCACCGGGAAATCAGACACATCAACCGCTCCTGCTCCCACACTAGCACCAGCGCCGAGCGGATAGCCCTGACGCGTGAAGAACATGTCTACCAGTAGGCGACACTCGTCTGCAGTCGTCGCCGCGCCAAGGAGCCGACGTAGATCAGCGACAGCGTGCGATGGAATGCCGCTCCTTCCAGATGTCTTGCTTCGCGTCTTCGTGCGTGGTGCAGTGGATGCGGATCCGGGCGAGGCGGGTGATGGAAGCGGTGACGGGGGAGCCGTGGTAGTAGTATGTTCGGCTTCGATGGGTGACGGAGGCGGCTTGCGCGGGACAGGCGATCGCCGTGGAGCCAGGGGCATGAGGGTGAGTGCAGGTTCTTCCTCATCCACCCCTGAACCAGATGTTTTCCCATGTCCGTTGAGAGCGTATCCATTGGAACTGCGTACCGGAGTCGTCTGGATCACGAGGGACCCGTTCCGCCCAAGGGCTTTCTCCCCCGTCGATTCCTCTCTGGCTAAAGTACTTTCCACACGAGAACACACTCCATTGGGCTGGACACGAATAGACCCATTATGCGATTGTACGGAAGCCTCTGGGTCAGTCGAGGAGGCGAAAGTGAGTGGGGGGACGGGAGGGCGGTGTTCTCCTCTCTCGTCCCAGACGGGAACTGCCTTGCGCATGCTACCACGCCGCGGGGAAGATACATGTACACTTGAGTCGTCCGTAGATGCCTGAGAAGGTGTTGCTGAGACCGACCGAGGAAGGAGTGGCTGCGTAGAGCTCGTGGGGGACGGAGATGTCATTTGAGTCGTAGCAACAGACGATGGGGGTGGCGAATATAGCGGTGCAGCAATCTGAGAGGGGAGGGAGGGACTCGGCGACACGCGCGGGGGACTCACAACAACGTTTGGATACGATTTTTTCGATACAAGCGAGGGTGCCCGGAATGACGGTGGAGGAGGGAAGTTGCTCAAGCTAGGTTTCCGACTCAGCGACCGCGGTGTCTTTGGTGTCTTTGGTGGGTCATCTCCACCACGCCCGTTCATCTTCTCCGTTGAACTGCCAATCGTGAGCTTTGACATCATGCGCGAGAGCTTGCCCGAGCGGGTTCGGGATGATTCAAATGAGATCACACTGGTGTTCGCCGTAGCCATTCGCGAGTTCATGACTTCCCCCGGCGGACCTTCGTCCAGAAACGCAATCAGATCTCGCGCAGTCTGTGAGATGTGAGGCTTTTGCTTCTGTTGGCCTGGACTTGCGGGTGTAGAGCGAGGCACCTTGAGAGTGGAACGCGCACCAAATTCGTCAGTCTCCAACACACTACTCTCTTCATCGGACCCTGCCATGATTTCGTCCAAATCCATCGACTCCCGATTGCGACCGATCTTCCTTGCTCGTGCCAACATCCCAGGCATGCCAAGTGAGTTTTGACGATGTGGGGAAGGGTGCGGACCACGAGTAACGCCGGCATTTGAGGTGGGTGGCAAAGTCTGGGTTTGCTCGTGTCGAGGATGAGGCATGTCAGATATGGATATTGATCGCAAGCGAAGACTAGAGGATGGGGCAGATCGCGCAGAGAAGCTTTTGCTGGTCTGACGCGTGCGTGGAGGTGCCTGAAGAGGTGTGGGGGAGAGAGATTGAGCAGCACGACCGGGCTCCTCCTCGTCCTCGTTGATGGAATCCACGTGGCGTAGGGGCGGGCGGGTTACGCCAGAAGGAGCGCGCGGACGCTCTGAGGGAGTGGGGGTGTTTTCGTCGCTGGCTTTCTCAGAAAACTGTGGTCCATCACGCGTTTCGCCTCGTCGATTCGCACGCTGGATGCGCTCTTTGTTGAAGACCTAAATTAGTGCACGGTTAAACCTTGCTCGGCCGGAGCAATGGGAGACACGTACCTCCATCGACTTGAGTCTGTCGGGGGTAAGGGAGACCTTCATGGTCGCGCCAGAGCGCATGAGTTCGTCGAACTCGTGGAGGAGGTCATCGTCCTCCTGCGAAAGGTTTAGCGGCGAGACAGGCGAGGCTGAATCCATCATCCGCACCTCAAAGTCAGCGGAGGCTCGGGCTCGCCCGAGATCGGCTGAGAGGCCTGCGCCGGGAATCTCCGCGGGTTCCTTCTCGCTTGACGACCGGCTGTGGCTCACCAGTCGCTTCACACCCCGCCCCGGCCCCGATGAACTCCGCCGCTCGGGCGGCGCCACCGTGCTGCTCGACCTCAGCGAGTCGGTCGACATCCGCACCCGCACCGACGCCGACTCGCGCATCGACGTCCGCTCTGTCGGCGTCGGCGACGAAACACGCTCGCTGGCCTGTGAGATGGACTTGCTGCGACGCGGCCGCTGCGCTTTCGATAACACTTCGATTTGATTGTAGACTGTTCCATGTCATCATTCGCGCTCGTAAGTATCACGCTACGGCCACACTAGTCCGTTCTGATGGCAAAAAGGCTGATGCGCACCTTTCATGCTCTTGAACGTGCCGTAGATCGCATCGTCTTCGCACAACGCGATATAAATGTCTTGCACCGTCGCAATCGTCCGACTACTATCTCGTGCGGCGACACTGCTCACGTTCGACAAAATGTGTCTGCACACACGATTCAGATCTCTGACCAGGGCCATTCAGCTGCCGACTTACTCGCATATAGACCTGTTACGCATCGCGCATACATTCAGTAAGAAAACGAGCGGACGCGGCAGACGCAACGCACTCTAAGATGGCGGTCAGGTAGAGAGCTGCGGGCGCTACCTCCGACGCGCGCGGGGCAGAGGACGAGCCGTGTTCCCGCATCCGGTCTCTTAGGCGGGCCTCTCCGTCCGCGTCTTCGTCCGAGTCGTTCATCGTCGAATAAGCTTCGCACTTGAGTCGCAGCAGCTACAACAAAAGTTCACAAACAGCGCGCGAACAACATCGGCGTACACTCACCTCAAAGTTCCACTGCAAGTCGAATTCATCCTCTCTAGCTGCCTCCGACCCACTCGCACTGCCCGTAGCAACACTTGTAGGTGTCAGAGGCACAGTGCGCTCCCAGTATGCCTTCATCTCCACCTCGGCCTCCAGTAGTGCCTCTTTCCCCAGGCTGGTGGGAACGAGCTTCAGCAATGCAGTCTTCAGCCTATCTGTCGCCACCGAGCGCGCAGCACTGATAATGGAGTAAAGCAGCTCATCGAGGAGGACATTGACCGCCTGCAGGGCCTCGTAAGCGAGCTTTATGGGTCGCACATCAGAGAGGATGACGTCCGCGGAGCGTGCGGAAATGTAGACAGGACCTGGATGCATGCAGGTAATTATCAGACATGGTGTGGACGGGCGCTGCTGAGGAGATGGCCCCGAGCAGAAACGCACCTGCGTTGACGCCGTTTTCGACGCTGGCAGTCATGGAGGATGCTTGTCAACGGTCGTTGCTTGGGCTAGGAACAGCGCTGCGAGTGTCGTCCCGCGCTTCGCGGACCTATTTGTATCCAATCACTCTTCTGCCACCAAGTCTTGATCTCATCATATCTACTTGAATTTAAGTATACCGGATTCTACCCTATGCAGTACAGCAGTGTGGACATGAAGCAAAGATGTGGAGATCGTGCAGTAAGTACAGCAAATGGAGGAAACACATGCAGCAAGACTAGGCATGAAAGCTAGTGAACCTCAAGAGATATTGCAATACCCATAGATGCCAACTCGGCGCAAAGGTATCGGAAGACGTAGGGTACGGCGACAATGTCTAGATCCCCACCTTTTGATGCAGGTCCGAGCACGTGTTGGGAAGGGATCGCGACTCTCAGATCGCCTTGCACTCCCGGCCGGTCATTCTGCCCGTTTGCGAGCGCCTGCCGTGCCCGCACGTCCTCCTCTTCCGCTGTCGCGCGACAGACCCTACAGTACTCTCCGCCGGGGCCTGTAGGTTTGAGCTTGCCCGACGCGCCTATAACCATTTCGCCTAGGCTGACATCTTCGTATCCGAGCGAGATCAGGCTTCCGCACGTCCTGCATACCCACGCCGTGGAGTAGTCGGAACAGTTCATCAAGCGGTCCTGCAAAAGGAAGGAGGTACCATGGGCGATGAGGGCGTCGCGCTCCATCTCTCCAAATCGGATACCACCTGCGCGTTTCCGACCCTACGATATTCATGTTAGCAGGAGACGACAGCACGTCCTAGCGCCGACGTACCTTGACAGGCTGTCGAGTGACTGGATCTACAGGGCCTGTAGTTCGCACTTGGAACTTGTCCAGCACCATATGCCGCAGGCGCTGATAGTATACTACTCCGATGTAGATATCGGCGGCAAATTCTTGACCAGTGATGCCAGAGTACATCGGCTCGTTACCGTAATAGTTATACCCCGCCGCTAGCAATTGTTGGCCGAAATAATCGACAGCAGTGTCCTCTTCTGAAAATCTGTGGTGATGCAGCATTAAAAAACTAGCCACGGCATCGTGTGTGAGAGACCCACTGGAAAGGCGTGGCGTCCTGGGCGAGACCGTGCATAGCGCCAGCCTTGCCCGCCATACTCTCAACTAACATGCCGATCGTCATCCGACTCGGGAAAGCATGCGGGTTGATAATGACGTCTGGTTGCATCCCACTCTCCGAGAACGGCATGTCAATCGCGGGCCATTTTTGGGAGCAGACACCTTTTTGACCATGACGAGACGAAAACTTGTCGCCGATTACGGGCGAACGCGTTATTCGCAAACTGATATGCACCTTTTGTAGCTCGGAGTCTCCAGCATCCGAGCCTGCAATGAGCGCGCTTTAGCTAGATAGCAGCAACACGACATCGAGAGCTTACCGAGGAGTCGAACAGTATCGACATAGGCAACTTCGTCTCCTTTGTACTTGACAAACTTGGTTCGACCCGTCGTGTCGTCCACGTACGCAGCAAGAGGATCGCCTGCCGACAATCGGACCCCAACGAAAGGTAAGCCATCGTCACCCAAGAAGTCACAGCAAGGATGTTGTTTATCGCCAAATGTCCTGATATCGTAGCCGAAACCGAAATGCAGAGTTGGCGTCGACGAGTTTCGTGAAGTCCCTGGCATGTCTTTCAAATCCACAGTCTGAGATTTATAAACGGTTCCGTATCCAAAGCCTCGCTCATGGGCAGATTTATTGAGGATCATGGCATCCTCCATGTCATATCCGGTATAGGAAATCACTGCGACAATAGCATTGGTACCATTTGGGAACGAATCCATGCCGTAGGTATTATGAAGGGCGGGGCGGACGACTGGACTCTGTCCACTTTGAAGTCTGTACAGTTTATTGTCTGTGCGATGCCTGAGGGCTGTCGCCGGCGTTCCCATCGTCTGTTTACCCATCTGTTTGAATTGTTAAGCGATGGTATCTCAATGAGATTCAAGCTCTATTCGCCTACCTGGCATTGATAGATGTTACGTGGACTCTGTGTTGATCGGGATCAGTAAAGTCAGCATCGTAGACAGGTGGTGTAGATACCTGATTGAAATCAGAGAATGGCGTGAGATTTGCCAAAATGGACAAAAAATTCGTTGGTGAGTGCTCGACATGCGTAGAGACGCCTTCTTCGATCTCTTCTGGTGTACAGGCTATATCCATGTAAACCTGCTCAAACGAACCAATCTGATCATCTCTTCCATTGGCTAAGTACTTGACGGGTCGCATCATACGCGCACGGGACGAGAATATATATAACCCCGGATACTGGCCAGCTTTTGATACCGGGACAAACCCAATCTCCAAATCCAAGGGAATTTCATGCTTGTGCTCTGTTTTCCATATCCGCAAATTGGTCGCAAGTTGTTGCAATACCGGTGCAGGTGCCCAGCCAATCAGTTTACCGTCAAGCTGAACACAAAGATTTCGGCGACCGTCGATGGATGGGGCGAATGCCTGTGTCATACCGTGCGCAGCAAGCAAGGCGGGGATGTGGATCACTGTTGCAGGCTCTGTAACAATTCGACATGTACGGGAAAGATGATTGAGAAGGCCACAGGGCGAGCCATCGGGGGTATGCACCGGACAGAGAAAACCTGTAAAAGCAACATTTAGATCTCCCATTACTTCAATCAAAAGACCCAATACCCCAAGCTTCTGGAAGCAGCTTCCGGACTGTAGTAGTTTTGAGTTCTGCAAAGAATGCGCCGCGATGAATCGATCGAAAATGACTGATGTATCGTTGCCAATTGAGCTTTTCTGCCACGATTGTAAAGCCGGACGCCTGTTGGAGGTCGAGTCCGGTTGGTGATATCAGGTTCCCAGTAGCCAGGAAATTCGCCATTCTCGACCCAATATCAAAGTTTGTCCGACCAAGAACTTTCCGAATATAACGTTCTAAATTTCGCTGTTTGTTATAAATCCATCGGAATATTTGGTTGACGAAATACATACTGTCAAAAAAGTCCACCGATGCCTCCGATCTGTTCACATCTTGTCGAATACCGTTCGCGAAGCCGTTTAACGCCTCCTCAAGGCGCTCTTTGATAATCATGCCATACAAAGTTCCTGGTAACAAAACCTCCTGATGTTGAGGAGAGTCCGGATTATCGACACAACATGACTTGGAGACAAGAGCGTACAGCTTCCGAAGCATGAATCTGTACCCCATGTATCAATAGGTGAGTATAGGTATTTAAATTCTACTCACAAAAGCATCCGGAATTTATCGCGGGGAGCGTCCAAGTGGACAAGGATTACCTTTTGAACTAACCAGACACCAATAGCTTTGTTTGTCCAATCCTCAGGCATGTTCAGGACGACACGGAACTTGTTTCCTAAGAATTCAAGGCATTGGTCGCCTGTAACCAGACTGTACATCTTGAAACTGCGAAGCAGAAGTTCCACGCGATCCGTCAAGAAAGTGTCTTCATAATCCTGCATCATTACGCCTTCGAATATCTCCTTATCAGATGCGGAAACAAGCGCTTTGAGAATGAGCATGATGGGTATGACATATTCCTGCTTGCGCCAGTTGAAACGAAGCATGGCGCTGCCATTGGAGAGGTAGTGTAGAGTATTTGTAACACTCGTCTGGTCAGGACGTACGCAACGAATTTGCACAGCATACGCGGTATATGAAGGCCCACGGTTCGCAAAGGATGGTCGAACAAGGCTTATGACGTGATGTCGTCTGGGAAGAATGAGGTACCGAATGAGACGTTCGTTTCCATTGATAATGAAATAACCGCCGAATTCTTCTGATTCCTCGTGCTTTGAGACCAGCTCCGCTGAGGACATTCCGCGCAGATTGCAACGAACAGACTAGTGAAATTATGAGACCAGAGTTTACTGAACATGCGAGGGCATGCTCACCCGAACCATAAGAGGCAATAGCCCACAGTCTTTGGTCTCGATTTCAATAGGACCGTCGTTCACCCTCCAACACAATTTCACGACCATGCGACCCCTATAGGAGGTCAAACGTTCGCGTGCCTAATTTTTTGTCAGCTAGCTGTGGTCAATTACCGATACTGCAATCCTCCTCCGCGATGAGTGGGCGACAGAAACTTACCTCAGAGGGATACACTTTGTTATCTCTGACTCGGTGATCTCTGTCAGACACTTGGGGTCTCCCCACGACTACTTGTTCATACCACACTAAAAACGATGAATTTCTACAGTGAACCGAGAGACGGAGATGCGCTCACTGCTTAGACGATTTCCCCACCCTCCCTGACCGCTTTCCGCTCCAATTTCCCCCTTTCCATCAAACACCACACGCGTACCAATCTCCTTGATACCAAGCGAGAGAAGACCTCGACCGTCTCCATCTCCTGCGGGTAAACCAGAGTCGTCGAATAGAGCATTGAAGGATTCGATGTGCGGGGTAACAAACTCATTTAAAATGGGGACGGCAGCACCATCCGTCGGAGGGTTTTTGAACTGTTGCTCCCTGGCAAGAGTACCGAATGTGCCACCAGGTTTGGTCGCCGTCCGTTCTGAGCCGTCCGGCATTGCAGTCACCTACTTCGCCAGTCCAGTTAATTTTGCTTAGGCGCGCGAGTGTTTACAGGCGCCTACACGATCGGATGCTTTTTAAGCTCCGATATAAATATGAACAAGGGCGGAGGGCCTGTCGAGCTGAACTCTTTTGGAGCTCCGCTTTAAAACGCGCCCTAACAAGGGTCGCGGACGACCTCGCCCTCGACCACGACATTCACGATACCTCGGAAGCTCTCATGTTTAATAACGCCATATCATCGTCGTGGGCCAATCCACAGCAAAATCAGCAGCCCCAGCAGCAGCCGAGTGCTTTTGGCCAGCCGTCTACGTTCGGGACCGGGAGTAAGTACAAATCAAGTCGATTCATACTGCACGGCTCCTAATGCGCCGCTCAATGGCCAGCTTTCGGCTCCACTACGTTTGGTCAGACACAGCCACAACAACAGCAGCCCCAACAGTCACAGCAACAACCGCAGGCAAACCCAATGTTCGGTAACTTAGGCGGTACGACATCGGGTACGACACCAAGCACCGGGTTCGGTTGGTCCCAGTTGTTCGCTGTTTTTCTTTCTTGTATGCCCTGATTATTTCTCGCAGGTGCCTTCAGTAATGTAAACGCGGGTCCTTCGGGTGGTCTGTTTGGGCAACCAAAGCCAGCTACCGGCTTCGGTGCATTTGGCGGCAGTCCCTCTACTTTCGGCAGTACTGGCACAGGTGCATTTGGCGCGACAAATACTGCAGGAACTCCTGCTGCTAGTACTGGTTTGTTTGGCACTCAGCCATCAACCAGCACTGGAGGAGCGTTCGGCGGGAGTACGTTGTTTGGTGGGAGCAAGCCTGCAGCTGGTTTTGGAGCGCCTGCAACTGGTACAGATGCCGCCGTCGCTCCTGTAACTACAGGGACTGCGAATCCGCCTTACTCTGTGTACTCAGAGAAAGATACAGCAAATGCGTCCGTAACCTTGCAATATCAGAGTATCACATGTATGCCACAGTATCGTGGTTCTTCATTCGAGGTCAGCTTACATGTGTCATGATACTCCTTCTGTGTTCATTCAAATGTGCCCCACGTCGTACCTGTATAGGAGCTGCGCTGGCAGGATTACCAACAGGGCCGTAAAACTGCAGGTGCCTTTGGTCAAAGCACATTCGGAGCTCCCGCTCAGTCGAACACTGGGATTTTCGGCCAACCAGCTACTCAAACGGCAGCACCTGCAAGTAATCCAATGTTCGGCAACTTTGGGAATAACAACGCGAGTACGACTCCCGCCGCGGGTACAGGCTTTGGTGCATTTGGACAGCCCAGTAATACGCAAGGCACTTCTGGTAGTCTTTTCGGAGGAACTGGCGCATTTGGGCAGCCACAATCTCAACAACAGCAACAGCAACAGCAACAACAGCCGCAGACCGGGTTCGGTGCCTTTGGGGCAACTCAGCAGCAGCCTCAGCAAAACACGGGTGGCTTGTTCGGAAACAGTGCATTCGGTGCAAATCCTAGTCAACCCAAAACTGGATTCGGCGCCTTTAGTGAGATTATACACCTGTTATTTGTTTATGTGTGTGCTGATTTGCGAAATAGGCGGAGGGACATTCGGAAATACAGGTACCGGCGCTTTCGGGCAGCCACAAAGTCAGCCACAGGGTGCCACTTCCACCCCAGGCATCTTTGGTCAACCACAGCAGCCACAACAAGGCACGGGTGCATTTGGCGCGTTGGGTTAGAGCCTTATCCCAATCTCCGTGAATTAATGTACTGAATCTGCTTTAGGCGGCACCAACACTAACGCACCCAAACCATCCCTGTTTGGCAATACACAGCAGCCTCAACAGACTGGTGCGTTCGGGACGTTTGGTCAGACTCAGCAAGGCCAACCGCAGCAAGGTGCTCAGACGGGAGGTAGCCTTTTTGGTG